GAAAATTGGAAGTTGTCCAAAATGGAATGGAATGCATAAAGATCAACATCCTAGGTATTAGAGAGCTGAAATGGACTGGTATTGGCCATTGTGAATCCAACAATCATACAGTTTACAAAGACACGGATGACAAACTGAAGAGGAATGGTATCACAATCACCATCAAAAAGACTATTTCAAGATCTACCTTGAAGAACGATGATGTCTGTGATAAGACAATATCCAAACACTTACAGGAAAACCAGGTACGTATCAACCACTAAAGCCAAAGATGGTGAAACTGAAGATTTCTACCAACTTTTCAGGCTGAAAATGATCCACCATGCATACAATCAAGATTAACTGCTCATTACTGCTGACTAGAATGCAAACAGAAAGGATAGGTAATTGGAAAAACACAGCCTTGGCTATAGAAATGATGTTGGACATAGTGTGACAGAATTCTGCAAGACCAATGACTTATTCATTGCAAATACCCCTTTTCAACAAAAGTCGGATTACACAAAGAACATGGCATCAGGAGTGGAGAAAGACTCATTGACAATCTGTGATATACGCAGATGACACAACCTTGCTTGCTGGATGCCAAAGATGACTTGAAATACTTACCGATGAAGATCAATAACTACAACCTTCAGTATGTATTTCACTTCAGTGTAAGGAACACAAAAATCCTCAACACTGTACCACGATACCATCATGATCAGTGGAGAAAACACTGAAGCTGTCAAAGACTTCATTTTGCTGGGATCCATAATCAGTGCTCATGGATGCAGCAGTCAAGAGATCAAAACACATATTACATTAGGCAAATCTGCTGCACAAGACATCTTTAAAAATGATTCAAGAATAAAAATGTCAGTTTGAAGATGAAGGTGGGCCTGGCTCAAGCCTTGGCATCTTCGATTGCCTCATATGTATGTGGAAACTGGATAATGAATAAAAAAGACCTTAGTAGAAGGTTGAATTATGTTGTTGGAAGAAGTACAGCTCTTTACAGGTGACAATGGTGAGACTTTGACTCTCATAATTTGGACATGTTGTCAGAAGGGCTCAATCCCTGCAGAAGGACATCATGCTGGGAAAAGTGGAAGGTCAATAAAGAAGAGAAAGACCCCCAACAAGATGGACTGACATGGTGAGCAGCAATACACAATTCACACATAAGCACAGTTGTGAGGGTGGTGTGGGGCCAGGCAGGGTTTCACCCTCTCATCGCTGTGAGATGGAACTGACCTGACAACACCTAACAACAATGTATTGAGAAGAGTACTACAACATATTTCAGAAGAATAACCCTGAATGATCAACGTTAGGACATATTTTAATAAAATTAGTAGTCTTTTAAGAAAAGAAAAAACGTTTGGACATCTACCTAAAACAGTATGTGAATTAAAAGGCAAAAGAATTATCCTCAATCTATGCAAAAACAATTTATGCTAGAAGAAAACGGAGCATCAGATTAAGATATTCAAATATGATATGAGCCAAGGATTTTAAAACCAGCAAAACTATTATCAACATACAAGAACTTGGAGAATTTTGTTACCATGAGTACTTCCGGGGGAATCCACTACTGAGTAAGTTTCAAACAACCAAAATGACCTGAGAAATGCCGACCCAAAGGCTGATGAACATCAGTTACGTGTAGAACTAAGAGTAAATTAGTGTTAAGGGGAGAGACTAGAGAAAGTCACAGTTCCATGCTCAGACAACTTCCATAGTCGTACTTTTTAGGAATCGGGAGAGAATACTGTTGCTGTTCAGTGCCATAGAGTTGGTTCTGACTCTCATCAACCCTGTGTAGGGTTTCTGAGGAGCAGCTAGTGAGTTTGAACTGTGGACCTTTAGGTCCAGTGCCACAGCACCGCACCAGAACTCCAAGGAGGGAGTATATAACGTTAATCAAAACTCTTAGTAACTATAATGTTATTGTTGTTAAGTGCTATCGAGTCGATTCCGACCCATAGCGACCCTGTATGAGAGTGGAGGTAATATTAATCATTATTCTGAGAGTATGGTGAGTAATTAACTGTGTGATACAGAAATTCTATTATTATCTGTCTCCTTGAGAAACAGAATTCTCAGGGCAGAAAAGCTTAAGTCCATGTCTAAAATCATGAATAAACAATGAATAGTAAAAACAAAAACAAAAAAAGCACAACTGTTCATCCTCCAATGATAGGGAACCAGCACTGAAAAGTGGCAGCTACAGACGAAGAGTCAAGCCTTCATCCAGGCGTTGTTGTTAGCGACCCTGTATAGGGTTTCTGAGGCGCGAATGCTGAGCTTGAACTGCCGACTTTGTGGTTCAAACCGACTTTGCAGTCCAGCACATTAACCCACAGCACCACACCAGGACTCCTATTTATATGTGGGTAACCGGACACACTACTAGAAGAGAAGACATATGATGAATGACAGAATTACAGTGTCACTACTTTGCAATCCTTAATGCATTAGTGGATCCAGGCATGAGCAGCAAGAGCTGCAGACATCACAGGGAGAAAGACGGCCCACATTCTGTGCCTCCTGAGACAGGCACCGCAAGCCCCTCGAGGTCTTGTCCAGTGATAAAACGTGAGTCTGCGTGAGTCTCTGGATTCAGCTGCCCACTGATAAAAGGGAGAAAGCCCGTATTGAACTAAATCATCAATATTACTGGATATGACAACCAGTCAAGTCCAGGCTGTGGAAAACTGCAAGTCAAAGCGTCTCAGGTTCTACAACAAATACATTATCAGAGAAAGAAAGGGACAGAATGTTAACCTGCAGAAAGAGGCTGAAAAGACTTCATTTAAGAAACCTGGGCAAGACTAAATACAGAATCTAGGGATTACCTCTGTGGGTGATAAAATGATAACGCATCAGAAGAACGTGATTACCCTAACACTCAGGGGAATGGTTTCTTTTGGAGGTGGGGGAGTTGTGATTGAAATGGGATGCATGCATGGGCTTTTCTGAGAAGACTGTCAAGTTTCTACTCTTGACCTGGGTTGTAGCTACATTGTTGTTGTTGTTTAGTGCTGTCAAATCGGTTCTGACCCATAGCAACCCTATATAGGATTTCCGAGGAGCAGCTGGTGAGCTTGAACCACAGACCTTGCAGCTCAAACGACTTCGAAACCTGACACATTAACCCACAGCACCACACCAGGACTCCAGTGTCTTTGTTATTGTAAAGTTCCGTCGAGTCTATTCCGACACACAGCGACCCTGTATAGGGTTTCAAGGAGCAGCTGGTGAGCTTGAAGCGCCGTCCTTGCAGTTCAAACGGCTTTGAAGCCTGGCGCATTAGCCCACAGCGCCACACCAGGACTCTGACATAGTGACCTGATAATAATGCACATGTATTTGTTTTTACGTAGTTTTCTGTATTTGAGTTTTATTTTACAACAACAAAAAAAGTCATTTGCGACAGAAACTGTCAGGCACCTACTCCTTCAGTCCACTTGCAGCTCTAGTCTTCACATTTCTTCTTGGTATGCCTCTGATTTTCCTCATTACCTCATTATTACTGACCTCTTTACCTACTGTTGTTATGTGCTGTCGAGTCGGTTCCTACACACAGCGAATGAACACGACCCTGGGCTCACTGTTGTTCCTACACTGGGCCTCACTACTGCAGCATCTCCCAACCCATCTCAGTGAGGAGCTTCTTCTTTTTCACGGACCAAGCATGGTGGCCTTCTCTAGGGATTGGTCCCTCCTATTAACATGTCCAAAGTATGAGATGAAGTCTGGCCACTTTCCTTCTGAGGAGCATTAATTAGGTTATAGATTCTTCACAACAGATATGTTCATTCAATATTCTTTATATACATGTTTCAAAATCTCCCTGAAATAACTAAAACAGAACTTGCAACCAAACATCTTTCATACGTACTTTAAAAAGTTACATTCCAAGTATTTAATAGCTACAGACTCTTTTTTAAATTACTACAGATTGAGTGTGTCCCCCAAAAACCTGTGCTGTAAATCTATCCTCTACGTCTATGGCTAGAGTCCTGGTGTGGCACTGTGGGTTAATGCGCTGGACTACAAGGTTGCTTTAAACTGAAAGGTCGGAGGTTCAAGCTCACCAGCTGCCCCTCAGAAATCCTACACAGAGTTGTTATGGGTCGGAACTGACTCAATGGCACTTAATCAACAACAAAAACAACATAGTTGGTGCGGCACTGTAGAATAAGTACTGGACTGCTAACTACAATGTTGGCAGTTCAAACCACCAGTCACTCCTCGGAAACCCTATACAGGATCACTGTGGGTCAGAATCAACTCCATGGCATGTGACAACTTAGTTACTGGTCATCTTAAAATATTTCTTTTATTTATATGAGCTCCTTTTCACACCGTAATTTCCAGTGTATTTGTTTAATCCTTATTTAGGTTAAAGTTTAGAACCCCACCTTCCAAATTTATAAGAGATTTTACTGAATTACACAAAGATCTGTTCCATTAGGCAACAAGGTATAGGTTAATTATGGACAGATTTGGAAAAAGATACATCAGGAATAAACTATATAGTACTTAGGCACAAAACAAACAAGTGAAAACAAAACCAAACTCTCAAATAAGCTTAAAGCTCAAATTTAAATTTAAAATCAAAATTTCCCAAATGTACACTAAAATAAAAGCTACATTATAACCAAGACACAAAACTTCAGAAATCGTTTCAAAGAAGTTAACTGTCAATCTTGAGGCGGGATAAAGACTCTCGTAGTATCTAGCTGATCTCAGAAGTGACACAGGCAAAGTCACAAATGGCTAAACTCCGACGTCCTATGTGAGGGAAAACAAGGCTGTCAGTATTCATGGTGAAGGAGCTCAGGTAGCGCACTCGGCTACAAGTTGGGCTGTTCCTCTGGAGAAAGATGAGGCTTTCTGCTCCAGTAAAAATTCACAGCCTTGGAAACCCTGAACCGACTCCTCGGCACATAACAACAACAACGAGTTGGTACCAACTTCACAGCACACTACCACCACCACCACCACCATTATTAATTGCTGACTTACGTAACCCAATGATGTATCAATGAGAGGATACAGAGAATATGCGAATTAATTTGCATTCTAAATTCTAAATATTATAAGCTTAAAAGTTGAGAGACTCTCAGTTTGAGGTTTTCAAGCATATGAGTACTACAAACTAGTCTGTCTACACGGAGAGTGAGTAAATGATCAGTGCAGAGAAAAAGAAGCTGAAAGAAAGGTAACAACCTAGTTGGCGATACTGAAACTATGCCGATCCGATCGGGTTTTACAGTCTCATTAGGATTTGACACATGACACGTTTGGATTTTATACTTACCTAAACCTTTTTGCCCTGGGTTCTTAGCAAAGGTAAATGTAAACTGATAAAAGTCTTTAAACTTCACTGTTTCCTTAAGCTCTTGTTCCAATCTTGGCAAAAGGCCTTTGAGCTTCTCTGTGCTATCACACCTGTTAGAAGAAAGTTACTTGTTAGTGTGGCAGACAAAAAGATATGTTGCCCTGAATCTATTTTCACTTCTCCTATTAAGTCAGAATTTTAGACAGGAACATGGCACCAGAAGTGGAGACTATTTTTCCCAGCCTCTGTAGTAACTTGGTGTGGCCGCAGGCCAAGCCTGCAGTGATGGTATGAGAGGAAGTGATTGTGGGCTTTCTCTGGCTTCAAAGGTATTCTGAGGATGCTAAAATTCACTGGGGTGATAGCTGAACAACGCTGTGAATATTCCAAAACTCACTGAAGTGCACTGCACACTTTAGGTGGGCTAATTGTAGGTATGATGTAAATTTCATCTCAATAATGCGGTTAAAATAAACAAACATGAAATCATGTGTCCTCTTCTGCAGAGTTAAGAGTAAGGATATAGCTAAATTATATAGCTTTAATCTTGCAGAAGAATACAATGTTTTGAGGAAGATAGTGTAACAAGATAGGAAGACCTCATTTTATGAATGGTCTCCTAAAACAGAGCTACCCTACTAGCCTGGTCTACTGTCTACCTCTGCACTGTTATAGCAGAGAGAAAAAGAAACTTCTACCTTCTTTAAACTACTGTGTGTTGGCTTCTTCATGATGGTAGGTTAGCTTGTATACATCTTATTACAGTTATTAGGTGCTGTGCATTCAGCCTCAGACTTGTGGCAACACTATGCTATTTGAAATATTTAAGCATTATAAAATACAACTGTATTGTTTTAAAACTGGGTTTTCTTCCAAAAAGTTGGTAATCTTTAAAAATACAAAATACACAGAAGAAATTCAATTAGTGATCTATAAAACTTGTCATTATTTCAACCATACATCAAAATAGAGGACAAAAGCAACTCTACTTATCCAAAGCTACTTATCCAGCAACTTCACCCAACTAGGACCGAACTAAGGAAAGAAAGTTGTCTAAAGCTCTGGAAAATGCCTGACAAATGCGCACATATATAGAAACACGCCTGACAAATACATACACAT